GAATAAATTGCATATTATGGCAATAATAAGAGATTCAATCACCTCATTCCAACACCTGGGTGTTCTGGTAGTCTAATGAATAATGTCTACACCACACAGTGACATCTGAGAATCGCAAAATAATCATCAAAAAATACCAGACGTCCATAGGATCCAGTTTTTTATATTTCTATCAAGTTTAGATATTAGGAAATCTTTCCAATTTAATAGAGGTTAAACACTACCATAGTCAACGCTGAAACCTTAATTATTTTAACACAAAACTTAACAACAAAACTAATTAAAGTGAGTGCCTACGATAGAAATCAGGTTATAGTCAGTAAAGATTCTGCAAACATACTGTCGCTGAGGCCGCGAAGAAAATTCATTAGCTGTCAAATGTTTCCCAACGTGCAAGTTTATCTGATAAGGTTATTGAGAAGAAAATGCTTTAATTGCAATACGGAATCTTAGCCTTGGTCAACATTTGTGCAAATATGTCGCGTATTTTTTTTTATAGGAGAGGGGGCAAACGAGCATGCGGCTCACCTGATGGTAAGTGACTACCGCCACCCATGAACAACGCAACACCAGGAGAACCAGCGGAATTGCAGATGCGTTGCCGGCCTTTTAAAAAGGAGTAGGCTCTTTTCTTGAAGGTCCCTAAGTCGTATCGGTCCGGAAAATCACTGGTAGTAAACTATTCCACAAGGAAGTTGTGCGAGGAAGAAAACATCTTCTAAATCGCACTGTGGTGGACCGCCAATCATCCAGATGGTGTGGAGGTATCGGGAGCTCCGATCTCTTCAGATTTATAAGCGTTATTTTGAGCAAAGGTTGGCTAGGACGAGTGAGTGCCCCTGTGCGTGTAAACTTGCGCCTATATTTCCTGTGTAACTGATAGCTTTCAAATATTTTTTATTTGAAATATTCGATAATTGTCTCGCTAGCTGTAATTTTTTTAACATATTTGATTTACTATAAAAAGCTTTACTTTTAGCTGTAAATTAGTGAGGATTAATTTCAACGGTGCTGTTACACTTGGATGGCTCGCGCAGCGTATATTTACTGTATCTACTGTATATTTATAAACCTGATCTACTTGAAAAGGTGACAAACGAGTTGAAAATCTTGTGACTCACAGACCCTTAGGAATCAAATTTAAATGCATTGTTACCTCTAAGAACTTCGATTTGATATCCCATTACCTAGTAAACAAGGAAATTTATGCGACCGCCAATTTGCCTGCTGAGGGTGGAATTAACGGCAAACCCTTCGACGTAAGAGAGCCATGTAGAACAGTAGACTGTTGTATTGTGTAGAAGGGTCGATAAAAAAGAAGAAGAAGTATTATTTCTTTACGCACAAGAACTTATAAAAATAATAATAATCACTATACATGAGCTTAACACGCGTGAGACAGTTGGATTGTAAATATTCACACTTTTTTTGCGCCCAGAAGCAATGTAAAGGGCTACTGTTCGTGAAGCGGGGGAGGGAGGTGGTGAATGCTCTAAGCATACCACGCAGCCGGCTGCGTGGTTATGTGGGACTCACTATGAAACATGAGTGCCTACCCACTAAACACCACCTGGGGAGTGGCTTTGGCCTGTATGGCCTTTCTGCCGAATCGGAAGCGACCCCCTTTAGAGAAAAGGAGCGCAGAGCAAAATTCACACTGTAAGTGATATCGCTTTTATACGTGAGCGAAGTCGACAAATGTGCGTTACAGGCAAAACTTTTTTACCTATCTCTTTTGCTCTTCCTACTAGTTCGTCTGCGGGAAACAGCGAGTTGTGGTACTGTGTTCCGGCCTCGAGGCTATAGAGAGCCAGAATAATTATTAATTACAGGCTGCGAGGCATTCTATCTTAATCCTCAGAGGTGACAACGCAGCCTTTTGTATTTGATGTTGGTTACAGGGCTGCAACAGCCACTGAACATCAGATAGACTATAAGTTCGTTTATCACTTTAATTATATATACGAGGGTGGATTGAAAAGTACTCGGCCTAACCAAGAAAATAAACAAATACTAAATCAGTTATATTTTTATTTTTCAACATAATCACCATCAAGTTCAATACACTTTTGCCACCTCCCCTTCCAAGCATTTAGACCGTTGAAAAAAAATGATTCTTCCTTAGAGTCAAAATATGCGTCTACAGCTGCTTTGACCTCGTCGTTTGTCGAAAATATTTGACCTCCCAAGTGCTTTTTTAGGTTAGGGAACAGAAAGAAGTCTGATGGTGCCAGATCAGGTGAATACGGCGGATGCGGTAACAGTTCAAAGCCACAGTTGTGAATTTCAGCCATTGACTGTACTGACGTGTGAACACGGACGTTATCTTGATGAAACAGGACTTTTCTTCTGAGCATTCCTCGACGTTTTTCTTTTATTTCCTCTCGTAAACGACGTAGTAAGGTGCAGTAGTAATCAGAGTTTATATTCTGACCCCTTTCAAGATAATCAATCATAATCACACCTTTCGAGTCCCAGAATACTGAAGCCATCACCTTATTTGCCGACAAAATCGACTTAGCCTTTTTAGGGGGTGGTGAACCAGGTCTTCTCCACTGTTTTGATTGTTGTTTTGTTTCCGGTGTACAGTAATGAACCCATGTTTCGTCCATAGTAACAAAACGATTCAAAAAATCATCTGCATCGGCTTCAAATAACTCCAAACAGTCGCGTGAAATAGTCAATCGCCTTTTTTGTTCAACTGAAAGCAGTCGCGGAACCCACCTCGCAGACACCTTGTGGAAACCCAACTCGTTGACAATGATGTTTTGAGTTCGTTCATAAGAGATGCCTATAATCTCGGCTATCTCTCTAATTTTTAATCTGCGGTCTCCCATTATTAAATCAAGTACTTTTTTAATATTTTCGTCAGTAGTTGACGTCGAAGGCCTTCCAGAGCGGGGTTCATCTTTCACACTCTCTCTACCACGCTTAAATTCTGCTATCCATTTTTTGACGGATGAATATGACAGAACACAATCGCCTAATGTACTGACCATGTCATCATGGATGGCTTTTGATGATAGCCCCTTCTTATGGAGGTACTTAATGACGGCACGCTGCTCGATTTGCTCCATTCGCGGAAATTATGTCCGATTACTTTGTTAATAAATTTATGAAATCACAACTGATTATCGCACACGTTTCGAACTTCACACAATGAACTAGTCTGAACTGAACTAAATAATGTGGGTAGATTTGATTTTTAGAATTGAATGGATCTGTGTTAGGCCGAGTACTTTTCAATCCACCCTCGTAAAAACAAATCTGCCCATATAAGTGCATGAACTACCTGTTGTAGAGATAAATTGCCTTAATCGTCACGTTTGGCACTCGGATTGACGGGTAACCGAATTCCACAAAGACTTCTCACCTCTTTTCTAAGTCGCTGTTAACGACACCCACGAAAGGTGTTGGGGCGATCTTGTACCGCCACCACAAGGCTGACGTTATTTTTTCGAATTAAATGCTAAGCATGAAAATACGTGTAAACAGCAAAGCATCAGACGCTAAGTCTTAATGAAATTTGTGGATAACTATAAATATGTAAGCGCTTTATAACCAACCCAGGTAGTTTCTCGAAAGTACTTTCGAATGAAATTACATCTTGCATCGAGGCGTTCGGTGATAAAATGGAAATAGAAGAATAATTTAATCTAATCTATGCAGTTTAAGAGTTTTTAAATGTTTTATTATCGTATTTGAACAATGCTTATTTTTTTCTCTTTATTATCTGCGCGCTCGCGTGCATTATACCCGCATAATCCTTGAGACAAATAATGACAAGTGCAACGACTGCAAATCTTATCTCTAAGCCCTTTGGCCCCTTTGATCAAAACAATGGGTGTACGCGTGAAGATATTGTGCACACGCGTGCAAATAATTTGAGTTCGTCGAAAATTTAAACATTTTATAAAGTCGTGCTTTATACTTTATAGTATTTAACCCTAAGTGTTACTCATTAATAAATGTTATTATTTTGGTTTTTGTTTTCATATCGACATTTGTAAAAACAATAATTCAAATCCTCAATATTTGTCATTTGACATCATAGAACACCGATGATGTGAAAATGTGAAAATATTAACTGATTTGTTGTTGTTTTAATATAACTTTTGACAATTACGTATATTAGACCTTATTATTTAGCTTTATTTTCATTAAATTGTATACTTACGTATTTGAACCAAATGTATAAAGGCAAGCGCTAATCCCGCCGACAAACTGTTACGCAGTTTGGTGGGTGTGAAAAATGTACTAAAGGTTTGGTCCAGAATAAATGATTTATTATTATTATTATTACCATTAGTATCATCATCCTTAATCCGTAAACAGTTTACTTAGTTAGTCTAGAAATAAATTTAAAATAAATAGGTTTTGCTATACTCATTTGAAGATAGCTAAAAATGTATAGATATAGAAAGATGATGTTTTCTGATAGTTTCGGCTGCATACTGTTGAACAAGTTATTATGTGAAGACGAAAGACTATAAAACAGCTTATACTGCCTTCGCATCAAATAACCTAAAACCTGAAGACCTTTTAAAACTGAAATAAAAGGAAAAAAAGTATTTTTTTATAGTTTTATTCGGGAATCGGACTTTAAACCTAGCTTGCCTAGATTAACTGAAAACATGCGGGGATCATGAATCTGTTTAAGTGTGAAACATGTTTTAATATGTCAATAAATTACTATTTCTCATACGTGTTGCAACGTTGCACTCGCAATTCCTACGAAATGTAACGCCTTACAGCTTATAACGGGTAATAACTGTTTTTGTTCTTGTAATAATGAAAGTTGATTAAGCTAATCTTATTTAAATAAATAAAACTAGCCTTATTATTTTGCAAGCTACCTTTCGTAAACAACCCTATTCTCTTGCACGCGTGTGTAAATTAAAATATATTTACTTTCTACAGTTCATCAACGAAGTACGAACCGGCATACAGTTCCTAGTACCGAAACCTGCAGTGTCGGAGCTTTCAAACATTACTGTAACATGGAATCAGAAAAGGAACCATTGTTGCTCCATTCGCGGCGCAGGTAAAAAAGCATAATTGTATTCTTGTGACGACCACATCACTTGTAGTTAGTGTTCTTGGCTACTAGATCGCAGATTTTAGGTTCAAATATTTTGATAGCTCCGTAGCGCGGTGACTTATCAATGAGTATTGCATCACCAAGGGCCGCGGGTTCATCAAGGGCAGCGTCATATCGGATACATTTATGTTACTTAGGTCAAGTTTATCTACACTAATGCGTAAACCTGTGGTCTGTAGGTGTAAATTTTCTTCATAATTAATAGCTTTCGTCAGTTTTTTGTAGATCGATTAAAATAAAGGTTAAAACTATTTATTAATTTCTTACTTGAGACATCTATCCTTACATGTCAAATCTAAATTTTACATTAATAATATTAAAATGTATATAGCTAAACTATAATATAAATTGAATTCACAAAAATTCAGCTAAAAAGAAACTAACATCATTAAAAAAATCTCTTACACTCTTAAAATAACATCAACCCTAACCATTAAAGTCCATTAAAGTCCACTGCTAAATATAGGCCTCCGCTACAGTTTACCTCATAGGCGATATTTACCATAGCTGCCACGCTTGATAAACAGGTTGGTAACCGCAGTTTAATATGTTGAGTCGTTATTGGAGCCCATCTTCTGATTTTTTTCCCTCTGTCACCTCATACGACACTCATGGGATGATATGAGGTATGATAGTAGAGATAGTAGAGTAGGATGATAGTGGATATTCTTACAGCGCCACTCCACAGGAACCCTACAATATAATATAACGCATCGTTTACAGCAGAGCACAGTCGTACGAGGAGGTGTCGCGGTACAGTGAGGCGGTGACGTGGCGGCGGCTGCGAGCGGTGATGGCGCTGGTGGTGCTGGTGGTGTGGGCGCTGCTGGCCGCCGCCGCCGCGCTGGCCGCCCACGCGCTCACGTCGCCGCACGGCCGCCCCGCCGCACCGCACCCATTCGCCGCCCTGCCTCCGCCCGCCCTCGCCCCATTCGTGCAGCCAGTATTCGTGTCGATGGCGCCCTTACTGGCGACCGTCAAAGACCAACACCAGAAACATTATATCTTAGAGGGCACCTCCTCCATGTCTACATAATAACATAACTTGATTTTTCATTTGGTACATGTTAAATCTAACACTCTTTTATTTAGGAAGACAATACAGTCGCATTACCACAGATTTTTTAATCTATACTTTAATATAATAAAGCAGAACAATCAGTCAGGTTTTTTTGTTTGTGTAAACACGCTAATCTCTGGAACTACCAGTCCAATTTGAAAAATTATTTTTGTATATTATAACCAAATTCAATATGAATATAGGCTAGCATCTATCTAGCATTAGGTTACACCTCACAGCTAGCCTTAAATATTAATTGCTGTTAAGCAAGTCAGAAAAAAGAGCGCCCCTGAACTGCTTTATCCGCGTGCACTGGCGTAATGGTTAGTGATATATAAACACAAAAGCATAGATCTTTTAATTCATCTATAAAAAAAAAGGTCCGCGATATCATATGGTTATTTCTTATACATAAGCTACAAGTATTTTGTAACAAGAAATATTGAATATTAAAATGATTTATGAACGTTAATATTAGGCATGGCATATTAATCCTTTCGACCTGAAGTTACTTCGTCATCAGATAATTTTATGGAGATAAACTTTGCTGCTTATAGCATGTTATTTGCAAGCGTATTTTAAGAGATAATGAAAAATTTAAATTATTCAACACTCAGAAAGTCGCATAAGCTTAGCCGATCAATGAGAACCGAGAGAAACCTGCACTGAACGCCGGTGCGCGAGGTGCCATAGCATATTATAGGCGTAATCGAGGTGTCTACGTCCCTTACATTTACCACGTGCTTGGCGGTGAAGGAAAACATCGTGAGGAAACCTGCATGACTGGAAAATAAAAAAAATATTTCGATGACATGTGACGTCTGTTAACACGTATTGGAGCAGCACAGCAGACACTTCCTCGCCTTACAGCCCTCTTACAAATGAGAGAACGCATGACCTGCAGTGAGACGTATGTAGGCGGGAACTTTAACTTTTATACGTGGTAGAGCCATGGTGCAGCTATATTAGTGGTGTAGTTGTAGCACGAACGAGTTGACTCGACCGGGGAGGGACCATGCTTTCACAGAATATCGACCTAAAATAGCAGCTTAATGCTGCTGTATTTCGTATGGTGAGTGTAGATAACCGGAGACCCTTTTTACTCGAAACGAGGCATTCCATCTTAGCCCACAGGGGTAACAACGCATCTGCATTTTTTTCTTAATCGAACATAAATATATATGTTTATGAGCCACATCATCCACTTACCATCAGGTGGATGTGTGCTCGTATGTCACCCTTATTCTATATACAAAAAAAAATCTCATCGGCGGCTTAAAGACAGGGAGACTTCTAATCACCCAAAAGCCAAAAAATAACGATTTTAAAGTACGCGTAAAACGATTTTAAAATACGCAAGATTGAAGTATGCGCCGGCATTATTGCGCAGGTACCATCACGAGAAAAAGAGAAGTGTTACAGTTTTGCAATAAAAGTAACGAAATCCCAAATAAAATAATAAACGTTATAAATTGTTTTTCTTGTTTGACCTCGCTATTGCTTCCACTTTAGGCATTTTAATCACTACAAAAAATAATTCATAAAAGTGTCAGGCTACTTATATTGGTATACATATAAGTGTCAGGAAGAGTATACGAATAAGGAAACTTCTCTTTTATTTATGCTTAATTATAATTATTGGGGAAGCGTTTAAAAATTATTTTATCATTTTTCATTCCATAAAAATAAATAATTTTTTGTTTTGAAGTTATTGCTATTAAATTATATAAGGCACTTCTAATAAAGAGATAATCTATGTCAAAAGTAAATAGATTAAATAAATGTCGAACGAAAGCTCGGGGTTCGATTCCCCCGTATATAGCAATCAGCTATGCAATACTAACAGAAATAACTAAAGCGGCCGCTGTTTTTAGACATGGAGAAGTGCATTTAAAGTGCAGCTAAAATTCCATGATGTTCTCCTTCGCCGCATATTAACAAGCCGCTGCACGTTTCTTAATATGATGAGTGTATACGCGATGAGGAGGTGGATGAAATGTATGAGGTTATCTTTAGTCGTGCATTTCTCTAAAACCCACTATACGGTGTTAATGGGAGACAACGCAAAGTTAGGCACAAGAGAGAACGGTGAGCAGAAAGTAGGGAAAATCGGGATAGGGCAACGAAGGGCTGACTTCATAGAAAAAGATGAACTCTTTATGGTGAACTCCTTCTTCCAGAAGAGGCCCCACAAAACCCTCACCATTCAACAAAAATGAGATTAACTTCATTATGACGACTAGACGGCAACTATACAGTGATGTCTCAGTGATCGCGAGGGTGAAAACAGGCAGCGATCACCGAATGATAAGAGGCATACTGAACCTAAACGTTAAGTTGGAGAGGTCACGTCTAACGATGTCAACGCTACGTCCCGTTCGCGCTCTAATCCAAACCCCGAAAAGTTTCAGCTCGATTTGTAAAATCGTTTTCAGTGCCTAGCAGACTGCAATGCAGTGAACGATATGAATGACAAGCTCGTGGAAACTGTCCATGCAGTCGGAGTTAAGTTCTGCAAGACCCGTCGCAGGAGAACACAAAAACTCTCCGATTACGTTCTTAATCTAAGTGTTCGAATGCTTCACTTAGACACCTTAACTTTTAACATTTCGATGAAGATTTTTATGACCTATGACTACTATGACCATGGTAAAATATTAATATTTGCACCCTGTTTAGAGAATTTTATTTTTATTTTGTTGAGTCAGTGCGGCGCAGTGTTTTTACGGAATGGCATTATGACGGAGTGCGGAATGAAACGATTTTGAGAAACAAAATGTATTTATTTTGTATAAAAGATTTTCTTATGTACAGTCGTATATAAATTATATATAATATAAAAACTAGTTATGGCTTCATTTACATTTAAAATACTTGTAATATTTTTTCTATATACCTTTGAACTTTCTGCGGATGTTTATCCTACTAGTCTTTATGTAGTACTGAAATAAAGTGTGGTAAAGAAATTATATATATGTAAAGAAAATGTATTTCTTTAATATTTTATCTGTGTATTGTATTGACTGTTGAGCAATGATAAGCCGCCTGTGGAAAATTATAATTTAAGTTGAATAAGAACAGAATTGTTACAAAGGGACTTGACATATTAAGGAATAAACATTAAATGTCGTTTCTTTGTGTAAAGACCAACACAACAGAATTTATTTTAGTCAATACTAAAAACAAGATATCTAATATCTTATAAAACGACATATACATATATGCAGAGGCTTAGCATTGAGTTGCGCTGAGGGCCGCGGACTCGAACCCGTAGGGAACAAGCATTTGTATTTGTTGTGTTAGTTTGTATTTGTGCAATTTATGTATGTTAACAGCCTCCATAATACAGTAAAAAATCGTAGTGTGTGTGTGGGGGATGGGGGGGGAGGTATTATGCGAATGCTTTTTTTAAATCAAAGTAATATAAACAATAAAAGAAAACTAAATATAATCGGGTGTGTGTGTGTGCGTGTCACAGCAGCAGGCGGCACGTGTTGTCGGGGATGGAGTAGAGCGCGAGCAGCGGCGGCTCCCCGCCGCCCCGCAGCAGCCGCGCCAGCTCCGCGTGCGCCTCCTCCCATATTTCCGTGCGCTTCGCAAACCTGCAACGCAACAACTTACTTCCTAAGCTACTTCATGATCTCTGAGAAAACATTTGTATGATGTTGTTCTCTTAATAATCTTCTTTAGTATTGAATGAAACTAGGTTTTTACGGATTTTATAACATTGAACTAACTTATTTTATAGGCCTGACGCTTCGAATACTTTGCAGCATCCATGGTCACGGGGGGACTGAGGTGTTCGACGTGTCAATGTAACAGTTAACCGCGGCTTTTAGTTTCCATTAGCATTACAGCCTATAAAAGTCCAATGCTGAATATAGGCCTCCCCATAGGAGGGATGTTGCCTTAACACAAACTAGCACGTCTTTATAAATGGCTTGTTAAACATCTCTCTATCACTATTTATCACATTAAATGCGTTTATTATGCGCTGCTTGAAATCACTATCACTTTATGCTTCTTCTGTGTACACTAATCGCTTTAGTTCGGCCCACAAATAAGTCTAGAGGTATTAGGTCTAGTGTTCACACCAACCAGTACACAGGCCCACCGCGACCACCTATCACCGAATTGGCTATCCAGATATGAGAGCACTGATCGTTCGTAATAAGCTAACAACATCCATCGTGCTAGAAGTATATTCCTTGCAGATGGCTCGTAGGAACGTTTTCCAATTGTGTCGATGACGTAACGTACCATTTGCAGAAACATTACTCCCGTCTATCGACCTGCAATCCATATTGGAATGGAAAAAAAAGCCAATGATGTGGTCGTTAATGATCGTCGCCCAAACGTTAACACTGAAACGAACTTGATGAGCTCTTTGATTTTGTGTGGGTTTTGGAAACTCCACCAGTGCTCATTGTGCTTACAACGTGCAATATAATAAAATACAATTCAAGTGCGGGTAAATATTGACCCGTCGCTCCACAAAATGTTAGCCCGCGCATGGTTCTACAGCCAACGACAAAACTCCTTGCGTGGTCCGGGGTCCGACGCATGTAAAGCTTGCACGCGTTAGGAATGGTATTGATGCATATTCATTGAGTTAAGTAGCTTCCATACCTTATCTTATGGATTAGTTTTTATAGTCTGTGGTCATACTCTAATTGTCTGTGTCGCATTTTATATACTCTCTGTGCTGTGCTTAATAAATAAAATGTCTTCCGTCTGATTGTATCGTGTAGTCTCATTAATTAATCCTTCATATCTTTTCAATCACCCACATAAATGATTAAACAATGGCTTACGCCAAATCGACGAACGGCTTGCCGGGTGCTTCTCTAAGGACATCAAAGAGGCCTACGGCGGAGACAAAGTGTCGGTTGTTTTCAATGGATAGCATCGCGCCACAATTTCATTGATATTATTATCGCTCGTAAAGTTCGGTGCGTATGATTTGAATTTCAATAGTTTTTAATTGATTTATTAATAAATTTCAAAACATTTGTTTTATTATTATGTATTATTAATAACCATGTATTAATTAATATTTATGATAACTCGCTTTGTACAGTTTTAACTAAATAAAAAATAATAAACTTGGAATAATAGACAGATTTTGAACATTTCGTAGAACTTTGTTGTAAAATGCATACACAATATTTAACGTAATTAACGCACACCCTCAGACACCCCAATTAGTATATTATGTTATAATCATAATACATACACTGACTTTTTAGTTAAAAATGTTTATGCATTGATTATTTATTGAATTAGTTATACTAATTCCAAATTCAACATTCGAAGAATGTTGTGGTCACAGTACAAATCCATGAACCCATGACGCGCGATTGTTTACGTTAAAAAATACCTACCTATGAACATTAACCGATGTCTGAATGAACTCCGAGCACCCAGTTGTTTATTTAAGTCTAGTAAACATTCGATTGTTATCTTTCCATCACACTTTTCAGGCTTTGGACTGTCGACTCTGAATAATTTTGTTTATTGATTATGGTCAATAGGCAATATTCGTTACAAAATGTTATGCTATAGCATAACATTTTAATTGTAATTGTAAATAATAATGAACTACTAAAAATAAGAGCACAACATAATTCAATGACGGCATTTAAAAAAATGTGAATGAAGATATATACAATAATTTAAATAATCAAATACTTAACTTACTAATAGACTACTCATGCAACGTTGTATTTTTAATATTCACTTTCAAAATCACCACCACCTTGTTCAATACATTTTAATGGCAATTTTCTTAATAGATATTTTAATTTAGAAAGCACTCCAGTGTCATTTTTCACTATTTCAAAAGCGTTCACTATCCTATTTTTATATCCTCGGAACTTGCCTTACTAAAATAAAGTAATCAGCTGATTTGGGAGGTCACTGAACAGCCGTGACCTAGTTAGTTATCATCATAGCCGCGCTAGTGCGAAGCGCCAGCGCCGGTATCATGCTATCTCGCTTGAAATAATGTTAATTTTCCTTTATTTTGTATTGAATAACGGAATTTGTATTAATACAAATGAAACTGCAATTATAAAAGTTTTATTGCCTTGAGTTACGGTCCAATTCAGTTTGTAATTGTACAGGTACAGTGTGTAACTGTACAGGTTTACTGTGACTAAAATTTACCTAATTTTAATAATTTTTGGTATAAAAAATTACCTATATTAAAAATTATAGAAATCGAATCAGTAAACGATTCTGAACAAACTACTTTCAGGATGTGCGAAAATTATGTTACGTGTTGTAGATTCGTGACCCCATGAATGAACTGATTTGTGAGGAAAACACATGCTACACACAATAGCATTCTAAACAAAGGCAGAACTAGTGAAGTGTAAGTAGTATGAGTTTGAGGTACGCACAATTCGGGCGGCGGGCAGGCGCTGTGTAGAGTGAGTAGTGTGAGTGTGAGTACGCACAGTTCGGGCGGCGGGCAGGCGCAGTGTAGGGTGAGTAGTGTGAGTGTGAGTACGCACAGTTCGGGCGGCGGGCAGGCGCAGTGTAGAGTGAGTAGTGTGAGTGTGAGTACGCACAGTTCAGGCGGCAGGCAGGCGCAGTGTAGAGTGAGTAGTGTGAGTGTGAGTACGCACAGTTCGGGCGGCGGGCAGGCGCAGTGTAGAGTGAGTAGTGTGAGTGTGAGTACGCACAGTTCGGGAGTGAGTAGTGTGAGTGTGAGTACACACAGTTCGGGCGGCGGGTAGGCGCAGTGTAGAGTGAGTAGTGTGAGTGTGAGTACGCACAGATCGGGCGGCGGGCGCGGCGCGGGGCCGTCGCGGGCGGGGCAGCGGGCAGGCGCAGTGTAGAGTGAGAAATGTGGGTACACACAGTTCGGGCGGCGGGCAGGCGCAGTGTAGAGTGAGTAGTGTGAGTGTGAGTACGCACAGTTCGGGCGGCGGGCAGGCGCAGTGTAGAGTGAGTAGTGTGAGTGTGAGTACGCACAGTTCAGGCGGCAGGCAGGCGCAGTGTAGAGTGAGTAGTGTGAGTGTGAGTACGCACAGATCGGGCGGCGGGCGCGGCGCGGGGCCGGCGCGGGCGGGGCAGCGGGCAGGCGCAGTGTAGAGTGAGAAATGTGGGTACACACAGTTCGGGCGGCGGGCAGGCGCAGTGTAGAGTGAGTAGTGTGAGTACGCACAGTTCGGGCGGCGGGCAGGCGCAGTGTAGAGTGAGTAATGTGAGTGTGAGTACGCACGGTTCGGGCGGCGGGCAGGTGCAGTGTAGAGTGAATAATGTGAGTGTGAGTACGCACAGTTCGGGCGGCGGGCAGGCGCAGAGTAGAGTGAGTAGTGTGAGTGTGAGTACGCACAGTTCGGGCGGCGGGCAGGCGCAGTGTAGAGTGAGTACAACCCACCACCTCCCATGGCCACACCGATCCTCAGGTCATACGGGCCGAATCTCGGGAGATGCGCGCGGTACTTGCACGTGGCTCTTTCCCGCGCACACTTTCTTGACTCCCTACAAATATTTAATCTATTCCTTGTCCCAGGTTAACGTCATTCTCCCCCTTCTGGGGCTAACGACACACTGATGCCTATGTCGTCGGGCCCTCCTATGCGCAAACTCGCGCATAGGTCTGTACTTTACCACATCGCTGACGAGATCCGAGTAGTAAACTGGTCCCTGAACCGGACGAACTAGTCCATCCATTATTTTCACTCTTAGGTCATCATACAGAGGACATTCCCATAGAACATGGTGAACATCCTCCTCTGACATACCGCACTCACACATACTAATTTCACACAGTTTCATGTCGCTCAGTCTCTTCCGAAAGCATCCAAGTCCGGTGAGAATCTGAGCGGTTTGGTAGTCCGGTGAGACCCAGGTATACCTGAGTCTCAACGCCACGTCCGGGAAAAATCGATGTAGCTCACGTCCTTTTGTATCACACGTCCATCTATCCTGCTAGGCGCCGATCACCTCAGTCCAGATATCGCGATTCCGTCTGCTCAACTCCTCTTTGGGCACGGTCAAACGTGCTATACCCATCCTACCAGCAGGGATGACCTCTAGGTCAGCAGGGAGAACGCCAGCCAGCACCGGTAAGGCCGCCGTGCTAGTGGATCGGTACGCCTTGGTTAACAATACAAGGGCGGATCGCTGCGATCTCAGTAGTATGCTACGAACTGTGTACATGTTTGCACGTTCGTACCAGCACTCTGCTGCATACTTAAGCGTGGACACAAACACTCCTCTATAAATTAATTTTAAACTCGGATATCGTACACCCCATGATGATGTAGATACGCGAGACATCTTGCTGAATCCCTTGGTCTCTCTTTCAGAGATATCGGATGCATGTTGCACAAACGATAGTCCGGAGTCTAAAACCACGCCTAATACCTTAACGTTAGTCACAGTCTTAATAGATTCTACACCAAGTTTAATAGCGGTGGGGGGGGGGGGGCGCTGAAATTTCCCTCTAACAGTCATGGTGTTCAACTTTGAGGAGGAAAACTCCCAGTCGATTCCGTAGCCCCCACTCCCGTACAAGGTCCAGATTGACTCTGGCCCTGGATTCGATACCCGCTCTCGTTCCCGATTCAATCAAGATTGTAACATCATCGGCATATGCAGTCATGGCTACTCCCTCGGGCAGAGGGAGTCGGAGCAAGTCATCCATCAGCACATTCCACAGTGTTGGACCCAGCACGAAGCCTTGAGGACATCCCATGGTCGACGTCTTCCACTCTACCCGGTCTCCGATGTAGAGGCCCACACGCCTGGAGGTGAAGTAGTCCATCAACATTCTATAAATGTTGGGTGGACATCCACCCCTTTTGGCCTTGACCATCATCATCGGCCACCAGGCATTGTCGAAGGCGCCGGAGATATCTAAGAATATTGCTTGCACGTAGCATGCCTGAGAATACCTTGCCGTGCTGAGCAGTACACGCAGCGCTGTTACTGTAGACCGCCCCGGAGAAAATCCGTGCTGGCACATCTTAAAATTACTCGTTCCAATAATTTTCCCAAAACAGGGAGGAGCCTTATTGGACGGTATGCCTTGACGTCGGTGAGCGGCTTGTCATTACCCTTGGGAATGACAATGAGTTTTCCGTCCTTCCATACATTGGGGAAAACCTCCTCTTCCACACACTTGGCATACACCGAGTGAAATTTCCTTGGTGCCGCAATCCACACATTCCTCACGATTCTCGCACTCACTCCATCGAGTCCCGGAGCCGTGTTGGGTAAGGCCTTGATATACCACCCAGGTCCCCAACCTTAAGTGGAGGCCCAACTCCACCCGACGACATGAAAGCTGCCAGCAGACGAACCTGCCGGTGGTAAGGCGAGTCGCAGTCAGTGTTGTCATTCGGACAGAGCGCAGACATTAATTTATGCATCGCTTCTTCCAGACCGTCCGGGTGTACACCCGCAAAGGCGATCCCATTGATCACATTTGCAGGCGGACGTACACTCCCGCTGGAGAGCCTGTATGCAAGGCCCCATGGGTCCTCATTGCCAGAGTTGGCAATCTTCCTGTGCTGCGACTGCTGCGCCTCCACCATCATCTTCCTATATCTCGCACGCACACTATGGAAAACCATCCTGGCTAACTCCTCAGACCTACCTCCCAGACGCCTTTTACTCTGTCAAGCACGCCTAAGTTTGCATTGCAACTTCCGAGTTTTATCCAGTTCAAATGTCCACCATTCATACACCCCGACCCCCTGGGGCGACGCTCCCCTAGGCCTAACTCCGCAGAGCGAATTACGACCCCTGAGAACTCCTCCGCCAGGAGCCGCGGGTTTTTCTACGTGCAGCCATCTCATTCGTAATTTGACAATCGCCCGGAACCTTTCACAATCCACCCCTCGGTCACGAAAACGGGGGGGATCCCTAACGGGTGCTGCGCGCGTCGTCGGCCTACTTGGTAGTGGCCGTGTAAGTTATTAAATTATGATCGCTGGCGCAGACCCCCTCGTGCACTCGCCACTCGGCAAGGTAGACGTCCCCAGTGGAGAGGGTCAGGTCCACGTTGGACTCACCTCTAGGCCCAGATAAGGTGTAGGGCTGGTCAGGCATATTTGCCAACGTTAGAGCATGTGTGATAATAAATGCCTCCATTTGCTGCCTTCGATATTGTACATTTTGTCCTCTTCCCATGTAGTGTCGGCGATCACAATACCAGAGTGGCGAGTGCGCATTGGCGTCGAGGCCCATGATCACCCTTCTGCCCTAAAGGCAACTCAGGGCGACCTCTAAGTGGTGCAGGTTGTCATCGATGGTGTCGCTAATTTTAAAGTACGCTGACACCACATAGAGGTCCCATCGGTCAACATGGCACACCACACAAAATTCGTTGCTGAGGTGGATCAGCACTGCTACCCCAATTGCTGGGTCGGCAAGATAGATGCCCTCCCATGGGTGACAGCCCACCTGAACGATCCCCGCAACCTGGGAGTACTGTTCTTGTACAAGAACAATGTCCAGGTGCAGTTCACGTGCCAGGATGGGCAGCTCAGCCGCGGCGAGCTCCCCTCGACCCAGGTTGATTTATCCTAATCGTAGTGCCTTGTCTTCCTGGTTAACTATGGGGCTGCCATTATCGCCAGTAATGAGTGGTGGCCACGGAGCGTTGCTCTGCATACAGCCTTGCTGGGCAATTCCTCGCCATGGTCACGTGCGAGCCAGAGTCAGTTCTACCAAATCGCTTGCACGTAGCGCACTTCTCCTCCGTGGACTTGCAGGCACCACGTTCATGTCCCGCCTCTTCACATTTCCCACATACGACCTCCTTCGAACTAAATAAATCGGCAGTACTTCGCAGGATGCCCATACTGTTGCCAGCTCTGGCAGCACGTGACGTCCACGTAATCACACGGCTCAACCACGTCCCAGCCGACGTATAACCGATTGTATCCGAACAAGATATCTCTCAAGGCAGCCGAACATTGAAGAATCACGGTTGTCCTTCTTCTACCTCTCCAGGACTTTTTGAAAGCAATCCTGCAGTTTTCTTTCACTTTTGCTTCCGTCCATCCACAAGCAGCAAGGTTCTGCTCGTGGAGGCCGCTGATTAGATCCTCATTCTTGGGGTCCTCCTCAAAACCCCTAAGAGCCACCAGGGGTAAACGTTGTCTGGGCTCCGTGACCCTCAATGTTGGAGGGGCAGCAGTCTTCAGTTTCTCTGCTGCTTACTGGGACGTGGTTTGGACCACGACACCCGCATTTCCCACCTTCCTCAGCCTGTCAATCTGAAGCCCGCTGGTCTTGGGGTTAACTGCCTTCTTGAGCTCCATCTTCGTATCTTCTGCAGTCTTGAATGGGCCTTCCGTCTCAGCCGGGTAGAAGGCGACAACTGGGCCTTTACTTGCTGGCATGAACATTTGGTCGGCCCCCTTCGGCAGCCTCAGCGCCGCAGAATAGGAACGTTGCGAAGCCGGGTCCATCGCGTGGCAAGGAACTGCACTGGCCTCAACCTGCGCCAGTCTTCTTTCCGCAGCAATCTTCCCCTGTTCTGCTCTAAGTGCTGCCAACTCCAGTTCGGATATATGGACCTCCATTGTCGCAACAATTGCAATGAGATCATGCCCATATGTAGCCACCCTGTTGACCTCAGCCTTGTTGAGTTTCGACCCTGGTCCCGTGATGATACCCATGATTCCCTCAACTGGTCCTAACCTAACGAACATGGTCGATCACCTCCAGCTTGGATGCGGTTGAAGCTTTGAATATCCCTCTTATTCCCCGGGAGCTCTCCCTTTGGCAGTCCTCATCTACAGCCTCTGCAGCAGGCTCCTCCACATCCCTGGACGGCAGTCCTGCCACCGGGGCCACACTCTAGCGAGGCTCAGTACGCTTGCCCACCCTTGGTCGCTGGGAAGATGACTGTACCTCTTCTGGTGACGTCAGAGGCCGCTTTTCAGGTGCTACTGGTGGGGGGGGGGGGGGGGGGCAACGCGACCGGCCGACCAAGCGGGCCCGGCGGGGTCCTGGATTTGCGAGGAGTAAACAACTCCTCATCATCCGCCATTTTTATTTTATTAACTGTATCGTGTAGAGTGAGTAGTGTGAGTGTGAGTAGTGTGAGTGTAAGTACGCACAGTTCGGGCGGCGGGCGCGGCGCGGGCGGAGGCGCGCGCGGGGCGGCGGGCAGGCGCAGTGTAGAGTGAGTAGTGTGAGTGTGAGTAGTGTGATTGTGAGTACGCACAGTTCATGCGGCGGGCGCGGCGCGGGCGGAGGCGCGCGCGGGGCGACGGGCAGGCGCAGTGTAGAGTGAGTAGTGTGAGTGTGAGTAGTGTGAGTGTGAGTACGCACAGTTCGGGCGGCGGGCGCGGCGCAGGCAGCGGCGCGCGCGGGGCGGCGGGCAGGCGCAGTGTAGAGTGAGTAGTGTGAGTAGTGTGAGTGTGAGTAGTGTGAGTGTGAGTAGTGTGAGTGTGAGTACGCACAGTTCGGGCGGCGGGCGCGGCGCGGGCGGCGGCCTGCGCGGGGCGGCGGGAGGCGCAGTGTAGAGTGAGTAGTGTGAGTGTGAACAGTGTGAGTGTGAGTACGCACAGTTCGGGCGGCGGGCGCGGCGCGGGCAGCGGCGCGCGCGAGACGGCGGGCAGGCGCAGTGTAGAGTGAGTAGTGTAAGTGTGAGTAGTGTGAGTGTGAGAATCAGAATCAGAATATTTATTGCCAATAAGCTGTGTATGTACAATTTGCGGGTGACATTGCAATTAAATGTTACACAGTTTACCCATATCGGGTATGCAATAATTAAGAAATAAAACTTTATATAAATTAATGTTTGGTATTAAAATATTCATTTAAATTATAAAACACATTATATATTAACCACTTCTTGAGGTGTATTTTAAATCTTGGCAAGTCCATAGCTTTTATATTAGGTGGCAGATGATTGAATATTTTAATACTTGTACAAAAAGTGCTCTTATAATACATGTAATTATTAATTTTACGTGTACATAAATTGTTCTTATATTGACTACGTATTGGACGTGAATTCAAGTTTGATTTAATCTGAAAATAATTGTTATTCTGTTTGATAAAAATTGAAATTTCTAAAATGTAAATATTTGTAAGAGTGAGATAGCCTTTTTCTTTGAATATATTTCTTAGAGTTTCGTCTGAGTACATATTATAAATGATCCTCAGACATCGCTTTTGTAGAATAAATGTTGACTGCACGTTTGTAGAATTACCCCAGAAAATAATGCCGTAAACTAATAGAGGGTATACCTGGCCGAAGTACGCAGCCCTTGATACATCAACGGAAGTTGTTTCTGCTAATATGGATAATGCGTAACTATAGCTAGATATTTTTTTGTTTATTTTTTCAATGTGGGATTTCCAGTTTAAATGACAGTCTATGGTGACTCCAAGAAAATTAATGTTATCAATTGTTTCTATTTGGGTGTCTTTATTTGCAATATTTAAATTTAAAGATTTTGTTTTGTAATTTCTGAATTGAATAATTTTAGTTTTTGTTAGATTTACGTTTAAATTAATTTTATTAAGCCATTCGACTGCTATTTTTAAGGTTTTATTTATGTTATTTTCAAAAATCATTTGAGTATCGGGTACAAAGATAGTTGCATCATCAGCAAACATAACACATCTATTGTCAGTGACATTTGGCAAGTCATTCACATAAACTAAGAATAACAGAGGGCCCAAAATACTCCCCTGTGGCAAACCTAGTGTCATTTTAACTGGCTTGGACTGTACTTCCTCGAAAGTTTTACTGATTTTGTCAAATTTTTCAATAGCTGTGAGTTGTTCTCTATTTTTTAAATAGCTTTCTAACAGTTTTAATACCAAACCACGTATACCTAATTTGTCAAGTTAATTTAATAGTACATCGTATATTACACAGTCAAATGCCCTTGACATATCTAAAAACAAACCTACACAAGAAGTTTTATTATTTAAAGATTCCCAAATTTCCTTAAGTATTTCATACATTTCAAGTGTAGTGGATTTATTTTTCTG